TCCGGATTTTTTGTTCGAAAAAAGCAAAATTTTACAGAAATTTTCGTAAAATTTTGTTCTACAAGTCACTGCTAAAATTCACCGATTCAAAAATTTCAAACAAATTGCACCTAATCTTCAAACCGTCATATAATAATCTAAGTGTTGAAGAACCGAAAATTTTCAGCAAAAATATGGATTCAACAAGAACTGGAGTACTATGCATGAACATAAGTGTCCCGTTATGCGATCACTTCGATCTGGTTGCTATCCACCAACTCATCGTTACTTGCATCCGTGTTCTGGACCACAATTTCTTTTGTAATTACTGGCGCCCCACCTCTTCGTTGTCGTTTCTTACCCAGTAATCCATCGGCGGCCAATACCCTGCAAGAACCCTTGGTTTATAGTTACTTTAGGCTTTAGTTTACTTTAGTTTTAACTTTAGACCCGAGTTTTTGCAGCACTGGTGCCTGTGCCGCTAGGGAACGGAAGACCCTTTGCTCCCTGGATCTGTCTGTGAAAGAAAGACCCTCCCTGGATCTGCCTACGAAAGAAAGACCCCTCCTTGGATCTGCCTGTGAAAGAAACGGACGGTTTGCGGGATTTTTAATTTTTCAAAGAAGCTTTTTAAAGATTTTAAACAGGCCATTTGCGAGACTTTTAAATTTTTAAAGAGAGAGACGATTTTTGCGGGGTTTTTAAAGAAACGGACCATTTGCGGGATTTTTAACGCCTATGAGATGCGATCACACGGAAAAGCGAAAATTAATCCAAAAATCCGCGACTATCACGTGCTTAGGGCGACGACATACTGGAAACTAGCACTACTGCAGCTCGACAAGTTCAGGGTATAACTCCAGTGGTGGGAAAATCGGTCCCTTTACGAATCGTTCACTCATTTTTGATGGTAAACTGGTACTTGCACAGGTCAGAAAGTCAAACTCGCCATCAGCTTGCTTAAGCAATCCTCACGAAATAGGGAGCCATCGACAGCCTTGCCAGCAAGCAGTTGCTATCGCTCGAGCTATTTCCCGTGTACCTACACTTATCAGATAAAGCGAAACAAAGTGGGTTTTTTCTACCACATAGATGGTCTGCAAAAACGACGCGGTAGCAAATGGTATCACTCTCGTAATGGCCTTGTAATTGGACTTTTCCTGTGAGACAACCAATCCTTCTACGATTCGTTCATTCTTTTTGATGGTAAGGAAAAGACCCCACGGCCCGTTTGGGCCCTGTGGGCAGATGGAATTTGGAAATGTAAGGGCTGAACCGGTACTGGGTGGCATATCTAGGACGTGCATGAAACGACGTATTATTACTGCTAAGGCTAATATGCGTTTTTTAGATGCAATGCGAAAAACGCATATTGACGAGAGGTTGTCTGTGTGTGTGTTTGAAGCAAGCTGAATAGGGAGGGGAGTTTGACTTTTTGCCTATATTTTGTCACTAGTACTGGTTTTTACGCTTTTTTTTTGCAGTTATGCAATGCAAAAAACGCATATTGACGAGAGGTTGTCTGTGTGTGTGTGTGTGTGTTTTGCAGCAATGCAATGCGAAAAACGCATATTGACGAGAGGTTGTCTGTGTGTGTGTCTGTGTGTGTGTTTGTGTGTGTCAGCATGCAATGCGAAAAACGCATATTGACGAGAGGTTGTCTGTGTGTGTGTGTCTGTGTGTGTGTTCAATGCAATGCGAAAAACGCATATTGACGAGAGGTTGTCTGTGTGTGTGTGTGTGTCTGTGTGTGTTTGTGTGTGTGTCTGTGTGTGCGCTTGCAATGCGAAAAACGCATATTGACGAGAGGTTGTCTGTGTGTGTGTGTGTGTGTGTCTGTGTGTGCGCTGCGCGTCTGTACCGATTTTTCATCTCAAGACCGGCAAAAGCTACGGGACTGAAACTTTGGGAACTTAATCTACATGCACGTACGGGCCCCTATCCCCAAAATGGGCGGTTTCTCCCTCGTGGTACCCACGTAAAACCCCGCCAAAGTTTTTTACGGATAAGCTGCTAACTTGCGAACCAGGAAAGCTAGAGAGCTGG